TTCGGTGCCAGACACTCCGACTGATTTTCACTTTTTAATCCACTGATGGTGCGCATTCATTTTCTCATGTCTGTGATAAATCATTGAAAACATTCCATTATTAAGTCATATTTGATTAAACTTTAGATGATTACTTGAAAAATGACTCCTCGCATGTATGATGAGGATGATTTAAAATAGTTTACTGTGACATCGCCTAATTTGTGCAACTGCCCCCCCCCTTCTTAGTGGATGTGCCTCTAGTAACAGAGTCTTATCAGTCTTATCAGCCCATTAAATTATTATCATTTACAGCCCTTTGTCAGTCCACTCTGGAATGAAGTCCTCCACGTAACATAATTTGCCTCCCCCCCCCCCCGTACGATTCCCACTTGTTTAGTCGCAGCTTGGAATTGAACTGGGTTCGGTTCATAGGGCTGTCGGCAAAACCATTGAGTGAATGCGTCACCCATGAGCCAAATAGTTTATCATTTGTGTGCGTGTATATATATGTAGCCATTGGCGTGCTGCGCTATGAATCTTCGTTCGATCCCCTCTCATCCGTGACGATTGCTGTATCTGAACTGGTGCTGGGCCTCCCTTAGGTCGACTCGGCCTCAAATGAATGCCTGTTGCGATGTGTAATCATCGCCACTGGGGTGACAGTGGCTGTGCATGGTGTTGGCCACACCACCCACTCGTGTGCCGCTCCGACTTCGATCGGTGCTCGCTATAACAGCACTTGCCCCGACAGTCTGATAAACGAAACGGGGATGTTTGTCTTTTGTGTATATACATAATGTGCCGTTTGGTAACAAGCAACTCAATGTCAGGATTTACCAGACTTGTGTTGATTGATCGGCAGAGGAGCCTCAGCGCCAGCTGTTGGTCATGTGTGCTATGGCAGGGAGTTTGGCTGTACTTAGGAAGTTCTCTGCAAACTCGATAGAGGGCACCATTTGCATGCAAGAGTGTATTTCATTCCGTTTATTTGACTCTATTAAGGGCCATCCATTTAGTACGTACGCATGGAGGGGGGAGGGGGTTAACCCAAATGCGTACGCTTGCGTATGGGGGTCTACTGACAATGTACGTACGCATAGGAAACGGGGGGGGGGGGGGTGAAGCCTCGATAATAATTTGTCTACATTGGCCTTCAAATGAGCCACAGTTCAGTTTCTTCAGCTGTCAGACAACAATACTACCGGGAAGTGGGACTGTGGGAGAGGTGTCACTTGTGTGCCACCGTGCCCCTGACTGCAGCTATCACGCAGCTCAGCAAATAAGTGGCCAAGGTACGCAACTTAATTCTTTAATGCAGCCGGCGGTGGACTATCTGTTTGCTTAAACACGTTAATATTATTAATCCTTGATCGTTTCTGCGTGGATTAAATATCGGCCGTTCTATAGGATTGGGGGGGTGCGTCAAGCGTACGTACACAGATGGTGGGGGGGGGGTAAAAATTCGTGTGCGTACAGGGAGGGGGGAGGGTCAAGTTTTGACAGATTTTTGCGTACCTACTCAATGGGTGGCCCCTAATGGCAGTGCAGTACATCAATATTGTTGCATAAATAAAACAAGGCAATACGAAACATGCATTTTTTACTTGGCAAACGAATGCACTGAACAGTGATGTATTAACATTCTATCAATCATCACCCAGTGACCCAACTGTTTCTTCTCAACTTTTAATGCAAGATCACCCAGCAAACGTATGATATATCTTGTGTAAGGTACGAGTAATATAATAAAAGTGTAAAACAAGCAGCATGTACTATATGCACAACATTCTGTCAATCCTATTACAGAGGCATGGTTGGTTAGCCATGGATCAGTGGTTCTTCACCTTGGGTGCACGCAACCCCGGCGGGTGCGAGATGCCCCTTTTCTTGGGGGTGCCAGTGTTTTTAGAAGGGAGATCATCGAAACAAATTAAGCACGTAAGTACAACAACTTTTCGATTTAAAGCTTTCGTGACTGCAGGGATTCATATTATTGGTTCTTTCGGTAAAGTCACGTAGAAGGGAAATAATAAAATTGAAACAATTATCACGACGTTTCAATTGCAACACAAGCAACACATGTTGCTTGTGGTGCATCGAAAGAACCAAGAATACAACTGCTTAGTTTCATCAATCCAATGTGTTAACATACACTTTTTAACGCTTGAGAACCAATGGGGCGCAAGGCTGCTGCAAAGGTTAAGAAACACTGCCACGTAGGTAGCCAATAGGACCCTTTTAAAGCTATTGGAGTCCAAAATTCGGTGCAAATGCCCATTCCACTTCTCGTCCTCGTATTGCAATGCCTGTTTGAGATGTAATACTTTTTTGACGTACAGTCATTTAAAATGCACACTAACACTACTTCGCGATACAAACGAGTTTTATGTCTCCATGTAAAAACGATTGATCTTTGTTCTAGTATATTAAAAAATTTGCTCTTGTAAAATCGGCTAAACAATATTAAATGTCATGCCTTCACTGTAGGTGGCGCACATCGACAAACGTTCAAAGACCACCATTATATATTTTTTTTAAACCTTTCTGTTATTTATATAATATACTTGTTTAAATAGCTTTCAGATATGGTAAACTTAACTCGCACTTATTTGTGCCTCTTATAAAACGCAACACTCTTCAACAATTTATTACATTAAGGTACATAACAGCTCGGCAAATATATATTTATAAAGCCATACCATACACGATTGTCATAATACATTGTATAATACTTATAAATTGCAGTGAACTAAAAAAAAATTTGCCACTCAAAGGTGGGTGGTGTCCGTCTCATTTATAGAGCTAAACCACTAGCGGAAATTCCATAGTGCTATGATGAGCCAAGGATATGCATATGATAACCACTAAATTTCGATTTAAAGCTTTCGTGACTGCAGGGATTCATCTTCTTGGTTCTTTCGGTAAAGTCACGTAGAAGGGAAGTAATAACCAGGTCTGTCGAGGCGACAGACCTGGTTTTCACCTGAGGACGGCTGCTTGCGTTGTGGCCGAAACGTCGTGAGAATTGTTTTATTATGTTTTATTATTTTATTACTTCCCTTCTACGTGACTTTACCGAAAGAACCAAGAAGATGATAACCACTGTTGACTACCATCAAGTGGTACTTATTTTAATGACCCTTGACTGGGATTTCAATTATTTGAATTAATTTCGTCTGTCTACAATTTTGTTCAATTTGTGCTGTCAGTATAATGTCATGAGATGGAAAAAAACAAGATATCCAGTCTGAATTGACTGAGCACAGCGTTGTTATCACTTTGTGCTAGAGAGCAGTCCATGCAGCAGATGTCACTGAACCATTTACGAGATCCCTTCATACACTGGGGCAGCACTTTCCCACCCATCCTATTGCAGAGAGGTAACGGTTGGTCACCTGACAGTCAAGCCCTATAGTTTTAGTTCTCAGAGCTGGTAGTTGGCCCAATGAGTGCCAAACCGAATGTAATGTGATAGGGTGTTTTGTCTAATCACTGTTCACCAGGCTAATATTTTTATTTTTATCGCACTTAACTGTACTTTCCAGTTTGTTGGCATCGTGTTTAGAGATGTATTTATATTCAAAACTTTTTCAGTTGCAGAAGGTGTCATCACAACACTACTGACGTTCCTTAACTATGCCTCCCTTAAGCATACTACTGGAACACCTTTTATTTAACCTACAAAGGACGGTTCATCACGTAACAAATCAAACTCTATTCTGTCAATTCAAATGTAATCATGGATAACTCGATTTGAACCCATGATCTCACCGGTGCTCTTATATGGCATGATTTCCAGAACCACTGAATCCCCAATCACGATTTGATTTCGCCGCCTTGCAATGTAGAGCCGAACGCCTTTTACACAACGGCAAAAACAATAAATAATCGTGAAATGCCATCAATTTATATGGATATAATTTTAAACCCCTGTAAGGTATGTTTATGAATGACGAAGAGGTAATTGTTTAAGACTTAATTCTATGGTTAATCACAGTTTTATTTTAAAACTAAATCATTCTATGTAAAATTATGATTGGTGAGACGTATTACCTTGATCTGCAAATGTATAAAAGCTGCAGTGAAAAAATATTTAAGTGCATTAAATTGCATTCACCGACTAAACATCGAAATATTGTTTCGAGAATAACATTCATAAAAGTGTATTGAATAATAAAATATTAGCGGTGCATGCTTCATCTCTCATAGCATCCAGTTGTATTGGGACCGATCACCACCTTAGTCCAATCCGGAGCTATTTGATTACATATCTATGTTTTCTCACAAATGATCACTTCGCAAGAACATCCATTCCCAGTAGTACGTACGACGATATGTTAACACGAGCCCCCAATGGTGAGCACTGTTGTGGTGTTGAGGGTGAGGCCACCCCCCACCCTCCCCCTTTGTTGAATTACAAAGTGGTGAATGTGATTACATTTCAGTCAAAAGAGCGTTTTTGCAATTGTAAATAGGATTAACAGTAATCTTCAATTTTACAATTTTGAGCCACTCATCAAGCACCGAGGTGGCAGGGTTTAAGCAGAATGCGCTAAACACCGTGCCACCATTCTCCCCAATTATTCATTTTGACCGATAAATGTAATATGCATTATTTCGTACCAAACAAAGATTACAAAGTCATATCAAACTGAACAACTAAATTAACCTCTGGATTGACAATTCAATTCAGGATTTTGTAACTCAAGAGGATGCCTAAGCATCACGACAACAGTGGTGTTTGGGAGCTACTTTTAATGGTCCAGCAGCCTAATTGGTCAATCCGGGTTGTGACCCAATCTTGGGTGGTCACAACCCGATACAATACACAGAAGTTCGATGCACGATCTGATTGGCTGACGAGATCCAAACCGACCGTACATTACATCCTGTCAGCTACATTATTACTATGCTCCGTATTTGATATTTTGTAACGGATGTGTTACTCTCGGCATCAGAAGCTTGCGATGACCGTGTAAAACTGGGCTGCCTGGTCCGCCTTCGCTGCTTCTGACTGATCAATCTGACTTCGCTGAGCAGCCGCATGAAATCATTTTGAACTTGATGCCGATGAATGCATAGAGAAATGGGTTGAGGCAGCAGTGGCTGAAGGCAATGCCCTCTGCAGCTTGCTTGGCATACATTAAGCTTGTTTGAGCCTCGCATGTCATCGCATCATTGTATCCCAGGTACGCCTCTATAAACATGATGACATTGAAGGGCAGCCAGCAGAAGAAGAAAGCCAACACCACCGCCAGAATTACGTAAAATGCCTTTAACTTTTTGTAGTTTTTGGTATGCATGAGGGTAATTGTTATGCTGGAATAGCACGAGAGCATGATTATAAATGGTATCAAGAAACCAAAGATGTTTTGAACAATTGCCAGTCCCAATTTCCAGTCAAGAATGTTGCTGTCAATGTTGTGTCCGCAAGTTATTGTAATACCATCATCAAAGGATTGGGCTTGACATAAAACGATATCAAAAATGCTCAGGGAAGATGCAAATCCCCACACAAATGCACATATATATTTCACATTCTGCAGCCTCCTTATTTTGTTGAACTTTGTGGCAAGGACCACGGCATTAAAACGGTCAATGCTCATGCACACCAGGAGAAAAATCCCGCTGTAAAAATTAACACTGTAAAAAGCGGTGACGAGTTTGCACATGATGTTACCAAAAATCCACGTGCCATTGGCCGATTCATGAGCCCAGAACGGCATTGTCGCTGCAAAGATTAGATCGGCAATGGCCAGATTTAAAAGGTAAAAATTGGTCACTTCTTTGTATCTCTTGTACTTGACTAATATCAGTATAACTAATGCATTGCCTATGAAAGCCAGGATGAAAACAATTGAATAGATGATTGGTAGAAGTGTCTTGCTGAGCTCCTCTGCATCAAAATTACATGAAGTTCCACTTCTTCCCGATGCGTAATCCGATCCATTATCTTCAGTGGACATATATTCAGTCGTCACCGTGAGCATACCGTCAGTGGTTGACTGTGTGACGTCACCCTTTAAAAGAAAACAACATGGCATGGTTATTTCTTGAACAACTGTAATATTTATGAAATTATCAATTTTCCCAATAGTAACATTTTTTAACATCCGTAATGTCCTTAGAGGCTAATCATGCTTTCAAGCAGTTTCATTAAATACATGTATCATCCTTGGGTATATTTTTGATTTTAAAGCTTTCGTGACTGCAGGGATTCATATTTTTGGTTCTTTCGGTAAAGTCACGTAGAAGGAAAATAATAATATTCTTGGTTCTTTCGGTAAAGTCACGTAGAAGGGAAGTAATAAAATAATAAAAAATTGCAAGTATTTATACAGCACTCTGAACGAGGACTGATGTTAATTATAGCGCAAGCTCTGTTATCCGGCACTTTACCATCCGGAATGCTCTATTAACCGGCATTTGTCATAGACGGAAATTCAAATCTTCCTTCACTTGTGCAGAAAAATACTGACGGCCGTCCGGTATCCTTGCTGTGTGCCTCTCATAGCTCCGTTGTTGTTTACGGGAGCTTCAGGTTCGCTGCCGAGTGGTAACCCGAGTGGCAGTCTGCAAATTACAGTATTATACGACTGTATACTGTACTCTAAACAGCCCCGCTGCTTCTCTACAATGAACTGAGAATGCTCTAGAACTGACCTTTTTAAAAAAGTATATTATTTATTATAGCTTAGGTAAAATGTAGTTCAGATTTTTTCTTGAAAAGTGTTGTGTACTTGGAAAATTTGATGAGCCGTAAGTGTAACTCTCAGATAACCGGCACCCCGCCCCCATTTCGGATGGATTCCAGATAACAGAGCTTTTGCTGGACGGTACATAATGCTTAGTTTCATATAGCATCGTCGTTCACACAAATTGCATCTCACAATTGCTTCAAGACCACACAAACTGGAGGGGAACGAGATGGTGAGCTGGCGCCAACAATCGCCAAAGCTCCGCAGTCCACTATATATCAAGCTATTATCGGCCAATTCATCTACTGGATAATTGCGAAAGACCTTTATAGCTCATCGGTTCCTGTATAAATAAATATTCAGATTCTCTGATATTTATATATGCATGTGGGAGGAAACCAGAGCACTCGGAGAGAATCTGTGGCGTGTGGGGCGGCAACCTCTCGTCCCATACAGAAGGGACAAATTGTGTTAGTCTGCGCTTTGCTATGTTCCATCATTCTCTCGGCAAGCCCCAGGGTATGGCACCTCGGCACCCATGGTAAGGCAACCACCAACCCTTGCCTCCACAGTGCTGGATTAGAGGTGTGCGCACTTCCAGTGCCAGGCTACGTGGTGATGTGTTTTCAATGGCAACACTTGAGAGACAATAGATACGGAATGAGTGATTCATCCTATTTATAATTTCAATAGGAGTGAAAGTCACTCTTTTAATGGGAACGTACTGCTATTATTCTGCCACACGACAGTCCCTTTTTGAAATGTTTACAACAAAAGGCCCAATTCACATCTTGATGAAAAGGCTGAAACACCTCGCCTTGGCGATTTGAATAATTGTTTGCTGATAAAGACCTTGGCACATTTTTCAGGGGAGAAAACATTGCACAAACAACTTTAGTCGTTAAGCCAGAAATGCCGCTTGTTAGCTACATCATTGAAACATATTAGTTAATTTATAAGCTGATGTTTCTCATCGGCATTTAAAAACCCACAATGTATGCAAGATCACAATTCACTGTATTCCATTTGCCTCTTGTAAAATGCTCCAGATGTGTGGATCATGTCGGAGGATTAGTGTGAGATGAATGTGGGACGCATGAAAGATGAGTCTGAGCATAAACGACTTTATAATTTGCCGTTTAGATACATGTGGCAATCATGATTTTAGCAGTATGTTGATTAGCTGTAATGCAGTAACTTAGCTTTAATGATTTCACCGATCTTCGTCAATACAGCAGTACATCTTCAGTATTATGTGCGTGTAAAAATAATGTGCAGTAACAAAAATAATCACCCCCATTGCAGTCTCCGATCGCGGTTAAATCTTCAAAATCTCTTCTGCAGTCTTGTACTGCCAGTTGGCATCTGCAAGAGTATCATATCGTGCCACTATTATATGGTGTGTTTAAATACGGCTGTCCAAATAATTACCAGGGCATGTATATCCATGCCGTGAGGGTGCCGTGATGCTAAACACATTTCATCGTTCTTTCTCATTGGTCGTAGTAAAGACTGTCATTGGCAAATCTGAATTGGGTAACATTTTCTCCAATTGTAGTTATGCTTTTGTATCTCCAATTCACTGGACACGATTGAACTTCATAAAGAAGGCAGGACATTGTCTATAGATAATTATGAGCAAGATTAACAACATGTACAGCAAGTTTTTCTAAGAATTTGAGATTTATCAGAGGGACACTACTGGAAAATGTCAGTGTGTATACCTGTGCTAAGCAATGAAGATGGATCGCCACCAAACGATTAAGTAGAGAGGCACGAGATAGCAGTGCTTTTGGAAAACTGAACTTAATAATAGTAAGCAACGTACAAGTGGACCTGAAGAAGAACGTTTGATTGACAAATGAAAGCTTGGATGTCTGCACATAAGCGTAGAGTGGTGCGTGTTTGGAATGCACCGACAGGCAGGAAGAGGAACACCTGGGGATTAAAGAACATATGCAAGTTAAAGATAATATAGTTAGTTCTTTCGGTAAAGTCACGTAGAAGGGAAATAATAAAATAATATTAATATATATTTTTATTGTTTTATATTTATATTATTATTTCTCTTCTACGTGACTTTACCGAAAGAACCAAGTCACGAAAGCTTTAATAAAAAGATAATAGTTAACTATCAGAACGGGTAAGTGGGCTTGGACACAGCATGTTTTCAGAAGGGATGATGGTTGGTGGTTAAGGCTGACGGTGGAATGGTGTCTATCGCAGAGAAGATACAAAAAGGTACATTCCAACATGATGGAGAAATTAGATATGCTCATGTGCATGTACTCGATTGATTGTTACATTGCAGGACCGTGAAAGATGACAACATCTTGGGGAGATTTTAATCCAGCAGTGGATTGATCATGGATGGTGATGATGCAATGAATCCCAAAACGTTGGTCCCACAATTGATTGTTGAACTTTTGACCTTAATCCTGTGGTAGAAAGTGACTTACTCGGAATTGTGATTCAAGTTCTCCAGAACAAATACAGCTGCGTTTCAAAGTCATATATGGTAATGTGGCAGCCTTGGACATTACTCACTGTTTAACTCGCTGTGATGCAGTGGAATATCCGCACACTTACTGTGGCAATTTATTATTAGCTTTGCTTATCGCATATGATGTGGTTCATCAAGAAAGTCGTACATTTAGCTTTAGTAAAAAATATACCAGATGTTAGCTGAATAATTTGTAAATGTTTATACTGTAGAAGTTCCGTGAAAATGTTAAACTTAACAAATACATAGGGACATTTATGTAAGAAGACACTTTTGGGCATGAAGGCACAGCTAAATATGTAACTATCAGGATTAAATATTCTTTGTTAAATTCACTTATTACTATGCTTATTTATCCATAGAAACCTCAGTCTCACGACTCATTTCCCAGAGGGTTCTGGCAAGTTTTCACAGTTCAGAATTCCCTCGTTATTCACGAACTTGCTGTCCGCGATTTTGGCTCTCCGTGAATCGCATTTGGAACTCGACACGACTGCATCGAGAAAGAGAGCACGATGAGAGAGATGGAGAAAGAACTTCTCGAAGCTTTCAGAGGCATCTGCGGACGTTTGGCGTGTACGAATTCGTAGAGCCGATGTCGTTATCCACGAAATTTCATATTCTCGAGCATCTCCGGAACATATCCCTCGCGAATAACGAGGGAATACTGCAATGCCAATCAAGTGTATCTCGCACTTTTCGAATATGGACCATTACGCTGGCATGATGGGATCTTTCATCTTCTTGGTTATTTGGTAAAGTCACGTAGAAGGGAAATAATAAAAGAATAAAATAAAACATAATAAAATAATTCTCACGACGTTTCGGCCACAACGCAAGCAGCCGTCCTCAGGTGAAGAACAGGTCTGTCGGAAAGAGAGTGTCTGACTGACACTGTCTTTCCGACAGACCTGTTGTTCACCTGAGGACGGCTGCTTGCGTTGTGGCCGAAACGTCGTGAGAATTATTTTATTATGTTTTATTTTTATTATTTATTATTTCCCTTCTACGTGACTTTACCGAAAGAACCAAGAAGATGAATCCCTGCTGTCACGAAAGCTTTAAATCGAAAAATGATGGGATCTCTTTAATCTGCGCCGTGAAGCCGGCGGCGCACCTCGTATTTTTAGGCTCGATGTAACCGCATTCGTGACCACAACGGCTCTTGGATTCGAAGCGTCAACCTGCACAGCGAGAGCAAGCCGGGAACGCGTGCCACCGTTGGCCATGTGACCACCTGGGCTGCCGTTAATATAACAATATACTCGTTTTTATAAAGCGCCTTTAAAATTGGTGATCTCAAAGTGCCATACATCCAGTGGTGTACACTTTTTTTACCCCGACTGAAATTACATTTGGTCATTCGCAACGTGCCACTCTGGGTATTACCGCACATCTCAACAGATCCGGTAAAAAGTCAAATTCCCCCCCAAAAATGTAAATATTGTAATTTCCACATACATTTAATTTACATTGAATTATGCAAAAGTTACATTTAATTCATCCTTGTAGATGTTTAGTATTGGGTTAAGGCAAGGTTACTTTAAGTTCTATATCCCTGTATCAGATGCCCATTAATTTGTTATTGTATTAAGCTTACAATGCACGCAGTAATGATCACATTTCAAATGTTTATCAATCACAATAAAGCATCCTTTTCATAAAAATCTTACCAGTACTTGGCCAAGTATTCAACACCTTTTGCCTTGGGCAGTCTTTCCATGAAAAGACGTGTTTCCCACGGTGCAGGCTGGCTTTTTAAATGATCTGGGAGGGTCTTAGGCAGGAT